TTATACTTCACCATACATCTCACATCTAGCAAATACTGACACAAGTTATACAAAAATATGCAAATATTATTTTTTTTAAGCATGTGTTATGAAGGCCTTATGTAGGTAGCCTTCAAATCAATTGTTACCAAAAATCACTTGCTGTTTCTTTAAAAAGTATATAACGTGGTTACCTTAAATTTCTAAATTCATAGCTTTTTATCAACCACAGCAAAAAAAGGAGTCTGAACATGTGAGGAAAACAGGAAAAGTTTTCTCAGCATTCTTCATTTTTTACTGTGTATACTAATGGGGCGTCTCCATCAGCCGTTAATGACGCCTTGTCAGATTCCTTATTGGTCCCTTGACGGAGATTTTAAACCATTATTGGATGTCACTATTTTTCAAAACACTATGCTGGTAAGGTTTAATTGACATGTTTAAGACATTCCGTCTGCATATCAGACACAGAAGTGAATCACAGCTCAGATTGACTCATCTGTTCTCCATCACGGCCTGTTTGCGAGCTGTCAGTCGTCAAAACATAACAAGATGTTTTAATAAACATATTTATATCTTTGAATGGATTTAGAAGTAGCCATTCATTCTACTTTCCACCCGAGTAGTGACGAGCTGTCGACAAAAGTTGGCAAAACGCATTAATGCTTACTTTCTTGCTCTTTTAATGGAACTGATCTTCCATGAAGTAAAAGCCTGGATTGAAACGTATGAGCCAGAAGTACAAAATAAGCTGCCAAAAATGTAATGTATTCCACTTGCATAAATGCATAAATTTTGAGGTCAACATTTTCAGCTTTGAGGTCACTGTTTCGTGACTGGCAATCTAATCAGTAGCTGTTCATTTTGAGAACAGTGCAACATCCTTCCTCTGATTTGCAGCACTGGCCAGCATTCAGGTTAATATGATATGATTTTATAATCAAACAGATTAAAAACCTTTTCATTTACTGCAATGGACTGTGAAATAATACGACTATTCAGCATGTTAAAAATGTAGCCAGTGACATGCCCAAGTGTATAGGGCCAAAACTGACCCTCAGATGTGGAGAAGGTCTGTTAAACAGTTCGTAGTCATGTAGAACACAGAACACAGTCTGATCAAGACAAAAACAGTCAAATCAACAGCACACAATGTGTCATCCATGTGAGACGGAGCCACAGAACACAAAGCGGAGAGGAAAGAGGAACAGTGACATCTAATGGCCAGAAGGTGGTAGCACAACAAAACTAACAGGACTGAAGGTAAAGACTAACAGAACTAAAGGTAAGGACTAACAGAAATAAAGGTAGAGACTAATAGGACTGAAGGTAAGGGAGGCAACCGGACTGAACGGTACGCCTAACAGGACTGGAGGTACAGACTAGACAGGACTGACAGACTGAGGGCATAGAGACTGACAGGACTGATGGCAAAGGACTGGAAACAGGTGACCAAAGTACGGCGAACGACTAATACGACTGGTAAGGACTCCGGTCTAGGTAGAGACTAACAGGACTGCAAGACATGATGTGTTCAGTTTAAGACTTCGTTGTGAACTAGGAGCTGAACGACTGAAGAATACTGAGACTAGACACTGTATAGCTGTGTGAGCGGTAACAGGACGTAAACGTACAGCAGCTAAACGACTGAAGTGCGCCTAGATGTAAGACTAACAGATCTGACGAGACAGATGGTACATGACTAAACCGTTTACTATTCGTAAGGATTCCTGCCCAGTCCAGACTAAAACAGGTCTGAGCGACCCTGTAACCACGAGTTTGTAATCAGTCAGAGACGTAAAAGACTAACAGGACTGAAGGACTGAAGGCAAAGACTAACAGGACTAAAGGTAAAGACTAACAGGACTGAAGGTAAAGACTAACAGGACTAAAGGTAAAGACTAACAGGACTGAAGGACTGAAGGTACAGACTAACAGGACTGAAGGTTAAGACTAACAGGACTAAAGGTAAAGACTAACAGGACTGAAGGGCTGAAGATAAAGACTAACAGGACTGAAGGGCTGAAGATAAAGACTAACAGGACTGAAGGTAAAGACTAACAGGACTGAAGGTAAAGACTAACAGGACTGAAGGACTGAAGGTAAAGACTAACAGGACTGAAGGGCTGAAAGTAAAGACTAACAGGACTGAAGTTTTTTATTTTACCTCAATAAGTAATATTTCAACATATTTTAGTCCTTTTTAGCTGGTTATTAAACTAACGTTTCATAATTAAAAACAGTTTATGGGTCAGGAGTTCAGTATTCATTAAAAATATATATGGGTTGGTTTCTTGGACATAGTCGTATGGTAAAATTTGGGCTCCTGTGGTCAAAAGACATGTTTTTTTATTTTCCAAGTAAAAATAAGTTAACATCGTCTACAGAGAACACACTTCTGCACATTTTAATACACAATTATTGTTTCTTGCATGAATTGAACATATTGACATAAATAAAAAAAATATCCCAATATGTTCATTTTCATATTTACTCACATGTTGATAATCATGTTTTGTCCTTGTTTTTTTGTGCTGTTTTTGTAGAAAAGTACACAAACTGCACAAAAAGTCAGAGACCACCCTTCATTTATTTAATTTCCAGTCAAAAACAGCCATTAAGCACAAGTGATTCATTCTTCTGCTTCAGAAAAAATAATGCAGAAACAAGATTTGTAACAGAAAATTACACAGAAGCTTCAATGAATAAATATATTACCAAGTTTTCAGTATTTAGTGTGATTTGCTTTCAGTTTTTCAAAGAAATCTGCAGGAATATTTTTCCACGCCTCCAAAGTTCAGTCTTAGAAGTCGGTTGTATTTCTGCTTCTCACAATCCAAATAATTCCAAACACATTCAGTGATGTTGAGGCCTGGACTCTGGGGTGGTCAGTCCACTGTTCTGAGAACACCGGCAGCTTCTTTGTTTGATTTGATCTCCTTTTCTCACCTGCAGATTTTTTTAGAAGTAAGAGTGGAGCTTGATTTTCTCTCTCTTAAAGATGAAAGCTTTAAGTGTTGTTTATCTGAGGGGACAGTTTTGGTGGTCAACCAGGTCTTACATGATTGTTGGAGCCTCAAATTCTCTGTATATAAATAATGTTTTGAAGTCCAATTTTTTTTTGTTTTTTTACTTTGACTTTCCTCTTCTTTATGTAAGTGGATTATCTTCTATCTACTCTCCTCAGAAATATCTGCTATCTCTGATGTTAAGTATAATTCAGTTATGATAACTATAACAAACAAGTCATTATTACTTAAATGGCTTATGCTATTTTTTATGTCCTTGCCAAAAAAGGCCTAAAACAGTACAGTCACTTGGCATCTAGGTGAATTAATTTCAGCTTTTCATTTGCATTCTTGTCTGTGATATTTCCTCAAGCTCAGTAAAACAGCATTAAACTGCCACCAGGAAAGACGCTGGCACTGACGAGCATTAGCAGCTTACCAGGCACTCAAGACATTCACTTTGAAATTGAAACAATGAGGCTTACATGTAGAGCCCCCACAGCTCGTCATCATAAAACAGCCCACCGCTGATTTTCGCTCTTATGCCAAGAAGCATAAAATGGCAATAACTTTCATTTCTGAAGCGCTAACTTCATTATGTGATGGAGCAATGACATCGCTTATGAGGTGCACTGCACAAGCAGCATGATTTCAAAAGCTCAGAACGCTGAAGTTACAGCAATCTGTATAAACTATTTAATCATATAAGAGAGTTTAATCATTAATATTACTGTCGAATTTCACTATTTTTAGTTTATATTTATATCCAATCGTATGCAAAAGTTTGTACACCCTAGTCAATTGACTTTTTTGTTAATTTTCTAAGTGGAAGTCCTCTAAGAATAACAAACTTAAATGTGGCATTTTCCTGCTAATTTTAGTGCACAGTTTCTGTTTATTTATGGAGGTAAACCTGCCATATATTTGGTTCTTGTAGGGATACACTTACTGACCGTAGCTCATTTGTTTGCAAAAGTTTGGGTACCCCCATCCATTTATGTTTTGTTGATTTTCTAAGTGAAAGTTAATTTAATACACCTAATGTTTTCCTGGTAATTTTAGAGCACAACTTCTGTTTATTTGCTGAGTTTAACATATTTAACACATTAACATATAGTTGAACATATTTTTCCAATATGTTAAATTCATATATATATGTGTGTGTGTGTGTGTGTGTGTGTGTGTGATTATATATATATATATATATATATATATATATATATATATATATATATATATATGTATATGTATATACCCATCATATGCCTATACTAATTGGCCATTTTATCTGAAGCACTATAGCTGCTGATTGTAGGTGCCATTACTGACTGTAGTCCATCTGTTGTATTCTGTTTTTTTTTCCTGCACAATAATTTAGTTACACTCTTCCACATTCATCTGTGGAAAAGGATCCCCACAGGACCACCGTTGAGCAGGTAATAGTTGGGTGGTGGACCATCCTCAGCCAAGCAGAGACAAAGACACGGTACTTCATGGTGGTGAGCGTTGGGGTACGAGTGTTCAGATACAGCCGTGTTTCTGCGTTTTTAAACACATCTGTATCACTGATGGGCTGGCAGTGGACCAACACCAGGGACAGATTATTGACCAGCCCAGCTGCCACTGCAGATAGAAACATTAGATGAACAAAAAAGACATTGAATATGTACAAAAGACTATATAAAGGGGAAAAAATGAAGAATTGTTATCTTTTTTAGCCCCAGTTTTACAATTGTTTTATATTATTATTGACTAGTGGGATTTTAAATGGGATGTTTAGACAGAGAGTGATAGCAGTGTTAGCATTCACCAGGGGCATGACCAGGCTTGGGCTTCCAGGGCTATAACTTCAAATATTTTTTACCATGGTTCACCTTCCATCTCCCCTCGTCTGTATCTTGATCTAGTGATGATTCACCCTTCGACTACACTCTAGGACTGCTTTCATTTTTGCATTCTGATTTGTATGAAAAGCACAACCTGTTATGATTTAGACAACAGAAGACTGCACAATAACAAGGCTAAATCTGTTTATTTTCAAAACATGAAACAAATTTGCATTGCTCAAATGCACATCAACACAAATGTGTACTACTGTTTAATGTTCACTCAAGCTGCTCCTTGTAGGTGCAATTACTGACTGTAGTCCATCTAATGCACATACATTACCTAATAAAGTGGCCAGTGAGAGTATATAGCTTCCCTCCTATATTCTGTTCATTTGCTTGCCTTAATGTGTGCAACTGCCAAGATACATTCCTTATAAGTAATATCTTACTTGGCCAATAAAACTAATCCAGATTCTAATATATGTAGTCATCCTCTTCTGAAACGCATGTGTCTCCACTCTCCTCTCGTGGTAATTTGGAAGTGCTTAGGACACCTCTCGACATCTCCTAAATCAGCGTGCCAATAGGAGCACCCTTACCCGCTAGCAAACTCGATGGCTTGCTTTTAATCATATGCGCACAAGCACGACCACATCTGCATCAATATTCTCAAGCTGTTATGGCTGATTTGCCACTCGCAGATACTTGATAACCAGCGGCCCTGGAATAAATCTGTCCTTGGGCCCCTTGAATCAATGCGGATAATTTAGATGAAATGGCAAAAAATCATCCAAACAAATGCTCGAAGTGATTTCAAGTTCCTAAATGCCAAATCCACAGCAACAGACCAGAGGAGCAAGGGTCAGACTGGGGTAATGGTGAAATAAAGTCAAGTGGACTGAAATACTGAATAACAAATCCACTTTGGACTGTTGGAATCGTGAGACACCAACTTTAATATTCGCCCTGTTTGTTTATGCACATGACTGAATGCATCTGTACGCATGTAAAGCCACTCAAATGCACTCACATGAAGCACATACGACATGTTGTAACTCCTCAACCAGACGTATTACACAGGATTTTATAAGCAAGCACATTAATACATTAACCACATAATAATACTGCATAACAAAATGTACACAGCATAATAAACAAGGCTGAAACTGGCTTCTTATTCGCCAGCTTCTAATTAGACTTTTCCGTTCCACCTTAAAAGGTGCAGCAGTTATATGCAGCGGGTGATTAAGAAACCAACGCCAGCTTTTTCAGAGGACCTACGGAGTAAAGCACAGCCAACCTACAGCACACAAATTCAGTACAGCATGTGAACATCACTCCACCACAAGGTGGGGATACAATCACAGACTACACTTAAAACACTGGACTCGGTCAATGTCCTCCAAGCATGGTTTTCACAGACCTGAATAAACATTAATGTGTGTAATCTGAACATTATTTTACACCAAGTGAAAGTTAGTTAACATTACACACAAATAAGTCTAATTCATTTGAATATAGTTGATTTTTGACCCGACAAAAATAATCTAATAAGTCCTTATTCTAATAATATTTGACAAACATCTCACTTCAAAAAACGCTGAATTGATTAGTTTTTGGATTTAAAAGATGCATCATCAGCATTGATGATTTATCCTTAATACATAAACTAGGGCCTCAAAAATACATAAATAAAGTGCGTTTGCAGACAGAAGTGTGCCATAGTACTCCTTCTATTACAGCTAGTCAACAATGGAGAGCTGAACTCTGACAAAGAGATGTAACATAAGGAACGAACAATACAGTGGATGCTACAGATCTGTAACTCTATGCTAACTATAAAAGCAAGATAATGCTAATAGGTATTTGGTAATCCTGTTTTATAGTCTGTACATGTATGTAAGTCAAATGGCTGACAACTCTTACCCAAAGCTTTTATTTTAGCTGTTGCAAAACAACACCGATCATTAGTTTGGTGAACAATCAAGTATACAATTTTCCTCTCAACCCAAAAAGAGCTGATCAGCCCAAACATATTCAGTGTCTGAAGTTTGCTTCTTTAGTTTTGTACTGGAGCTAAGAGGCTAATGAAGCTAACAAGTAATGGAAGCTTAGCCTGTCTATTAACTGCAAATTGCAGGCCTAAATCATCACACACTTGCTTCAAACTTCATAGAGTTGTTAGGAAATCTCAAACAGACAAAAGTACAGACAAAATTCAGGCTTCAAGGTGGTTGCTACATTTTTAGCTACGCTAAAGTACCTTTGTCCATAAAGATTTCATTAGCCTTAGTAGTCACATGCTTGCCTCAAGTTGCATTGTGATGTTAAGTCGTCTCAAATAAACTTGATTATGTGGTTTCTGTCACTGTCACACATTGTTATCTATAAATATAAGTATAAACAATTTGTCATAAAGTACTGGTTTTAACTTTACTATATATATTTGTCCATTTGTATAGATAACAATGTTATATAGTGTCAGATAGCCACCAGTCCAAAAGTGACTATTGGTATTTTGTGTTTTTGTGATGGGATTCCCTTGATTTTAACACAGTGGTTCCCTGGAGGACCCTCAGCCCTGCCAAAACACACCCACCTTAACTCAGGAAGGTCTTGTTCAGATTAGTTCAGGGGTCGGCCACCCAAATGTTAAGAAAAGCTATTTTGTCCTTTCAGCAAAAATCAAACCACCTTGGAGGCCACAACATTTCATGTCCATTTTACTATGTCTCAGTATGGAGCTGGAGTGCTTATACGTGCAAGTAAGACCATTCATCTTCAAATTATCGATGTTTGTCTTAAATCTTTCTCTTTGCCTTTTCGTTAGCTACTAGCTAGGCGAGATTCTTGTCTGCATTGCTATGGTGACCAGCAGTCTGTGCCCCAATCTTCAGGGTTAAAGGGTGAATTAGCAGTTATACATAGTGTTTAAGACCGTTTAGTGTTAAAACTGTGTTGAACGATCAGCAGAGCTTTATTTCACTGCAAAGGAGGATTATTTTATTTTGACCTAAAAGTCTAATATTGCTGTGAAGCCGCAACAGGGCAGTAAAAGAGCCGCAGGTTGCCGACCCCTGGATTAGTTGGATCAGGTGTGTTGAAAGCAGAGCAAACACTAAACTGCAGGGCAGGGCGGCCTCCAGGACCAGGGTTGGGAACCACTGGTTTAACAGGTGTCCGGGGACTGATTCCAGATGCATTTGATGGTTTCCTAATGGGATCTAAAGGAGTCCTACAGGAAACTAGTGGTCTCTTATGGTAACCATTAAGCCAGTTAGAAAGCACAACCACCAGGTTTTAATTCTGGTTATTTTTTCAATAGTTTCTAGAACTCATTGTTTTTTGTGATGCCACAGAAATTGTTGCATTTAAATAATTCCACCTGTTCAGCCTAAAGCAGTTAGCCCCACCCATTCATGCTGAAGGTACAAGAAACATTTCAGCCTGGACTGCTTTCTGAATGAGGCACCATAAGACGAGATCCTATTTACACAGATCAGTCTTACAGGCACAATAATGGTCATGAATGATGAATGATGACAGTTTTTGTTTCACAAAAACACAAGTGTTATAAGTGGACCTCAGGGAAAAATATTAAATGTAAGATATAGACCATTTAACAGTTTGATGTGGTGTGACGATTTGGGCATGCAGTTTATTCTGGGGATGCATAATTGGAAATAGCCAAAATTGGAATTGGCTGGTTTTTGCTTCAAAGAAGCAACTGGCGATCACCTGAACTGCAGTTTTAATTTTGTTTGATCTGTATTTCTGTTAGGTACCTACACTGTGTTTGAATGCTGCTGCTACACCTGTACCAAAATGACGTAGCATAATTATGTGTGATTCATAGTTTCCTACTGCTTTTGATGTTGCGCTATGTTTCATGTTATATAAATAATGATTTTTCATTTAAGAAATTAAAATGCCAGTTTGCCAAAGAGCAACTAACGTTATTTATATTGCAACATTGGCTAATTGAAAGTGCTGGAAATGTGCTAGCGTGTTTCATTTAGTCCACATAGTGCACTGTTTTGTGCTGTACACTGAATATTTTAACTTAAAAAGTAAGTTCCCTGGTTGCCTTGAAATTTTGAGTGTATTATACATCGAATAATAAGTTAACGGAATGTAAAGGTCATGTTGTAAAATGTAAAACAACTAAAACTGTAACCAGGTTACTTATTTACTTACTTATTTTTTATTTATTAAATCATTTATTTATTCATTTATTTTCCACAATTTTCTCCCCAATTTAGTCGTATCCAATTCCACCCACTTGTTAGGATTCTTTATATCACCAGCACTAGGAGGGCGAAGGCTGGCACAGGCTTCCTCCAAGACCTGTGAAGCGCCACTGCATCTTTTCGCTCACGCACTGGCCTTGGACAGCCAAACACACTCAGACGAAAGCCCCAGCCGCCAGTTCTGTTACATCAGCTAACAGACGCCTGTGCTGACTAGCATCACGCTTAGTGATGGGGAGACGGGGAAGCCATCCTACCCACCCGGAGAGAGCGAGGCCAACTGTGCTATCTTGGACTCCTGGCCAGGGATGGTTGTAGCTACTAAGTTAAAACACTGAATCAATTTTTATAGAGTGTGAACACTGAAGAAAAAAAAAATGGCTGTAAAGTATTTGGAATCAGCCTCAAAAAATCATGATCAGTGCACCTCTGGTTTACACACTGCTAACCTTGTGGCTACAGGCTTCCGTTACTTCCTACTCCAGTGCAAAACTAAAGAAGCAAACTTCAGACAACAAATGTCTTTGTTGTGGCTGATCAGCTACATTAGGCATTTGGCAACATTTCATTTTTTACCACACTTGCTTTAAATCTTGTCACCATCAAGTGTAACAAAACGTATAGGCCGGCTGTAGATCCTTTAGTTCATAAGAAAAGGCAGTTATTGTGTCCTCGGCCTGAAACGTGTGTCCTGTCATGGACTATCTCGGAGTGGTCGAATGATGATCTAATGGAGCCTGAGTGGACCTCTGCTTGGGACAAAGGATCTTAGCGAAGGCCCTGCGGAAGCTGCTGTGGCAGAGAGGGTAGAGGAAGGGGTTGATGGCCGAGTTCAACCAAAGCAACCAGAAGGTCACCTCATACCAGTGGTGCGAAACACACTGCCCCCTGCAGGCAGCTCGTATGATCATCAAGAGTGTGTACGGCGCCCAGCACACGGCGAACACACAAACGATTATAGCCAGGGACTTGGCGATTTTCTTATCCTGTATTAGGCGGGTACACTGACTGCTTCGCACGGACAGACTGTCGTTGCGTCCCACCGCAGTGGAAGAGGAGCAGAGCTCAGAGCTTTTGTCTCCATCCTCACTGGGCTTCTTCTTTTTGAGAATGAAAGAGCTTCGGCAGATATAGGTGGCCAAGCGGAGTCTCTCTCGCTTCGTAGACGTCACAGTAGCCTGCGGAGAACCCATCTCTTGCCGGTGCCGTAGCCTCCTCTCCCGGATGCTGCGGTAGATGCTGAGGTTGAAGAAGGTCACGGACAGGAGAGGGAAGAAAAACTCCAGTGTGGAGGCGCAGAGCAAGAAGTACCAGGTGTAGAAGAACTCAGCAAAACACTCGTCTTCCGGCACATGGCTCTCCCCAGTGACTTTCTCCCACAGCAGTATGGCGGGGCCGTAGAGGAGGAAGGCCAAAACCCACACGGCTGCCATCTTCCCCAGGGCACAGCGCGTCATCCCCTGCCTGGCCCGGTACGACACCTCAAATCACAAGCATGAGGGGCAAAAGAGAAGAGGAAGAAGAAATAAAAAGTAATGTGAGTGACTTTATAACAGTTTTTACTATTTTTCATATTTTATAATAACGGTAAAGACATCAAAATTATAAAACAGTATTATGCAAAACGACAATCAAAACTGTTCAGACTCACTTTATTTGGATAGTCCACTATAGCCACCTATAGATTATCTATAGATGTTCAAATTGTTAATAAATTATCTGTTGAAACTCAGTTCTAAACAACTGTGGGGTTAGGGTTAGGATTTGGACCAGGGTGAGGGTTGGGGTTAGGTTTTGGGTCGGGGTTTAGGTTAGGATTAGAGCCAGGGTTAAAGAAAATTATGGTCAATTTACTAGATATTTAGTTGAATGAAACTGAGGTAAATTTGAAGTAAATTGAGTATCAACGAAGCATCTAAAGTGGACTATCCAAATAAACTGTTACAGTTAGGGTTTAAGACAGACAACTCCCAATAGAAAGTACTCTATAAATGATGTTTTTGCCTTGAGTTTAAACAGATTATGGCATAACCCTTGTAAATATATAAGGTCTGAATATTATTTTTTTTTTACTGTGGGATCACAGTTTCAGTAGTATGGTCCATATAAATCCATCACCCGCACTGCCATCCACTAAAAACAATATCAAAAACATGGTAGACAAGATTGATAAGAAAAATTAAGTAAATTCATAAATATGAAACTAAAATGACATTGTAGGCCTCGTACCAGAAAAAAGATTATCAGTATACAAACATAACAATTTCACCAAAAGAAACCAAGTGACAATCAAACCCTGTCTTCCATCCTTCCAATGATTAGCAAGACCTAATCAATATCAATAACACTGATGATAAAAAAAACTGTTGGCAACAAATCATGTGATTGATCAGTTGTCTTGATGACATCTATGCTTCCCATTTACATCACCTGACTGAAAGAGGAAAATACAGCTGGCAGAACCGCCATTACAGTGCCATGCACTACCCAAAAAATCAAACACTACGAAAACATTTCACTTTAATGTCATCTAAAAAGACGATTTCCCATATTCCTGTAAAACCAAGCTCAGCTGGCAACACAACTGTCAGGTGCGAATATCTGAGAGAGTAAACATTCATGGCAGAAACCCAACATGGTGAGGTACTAATATCTTAATAAAACTGTCAAAAGTAAAACTGTCAAAAGGCTGTTTTTCAGCTGAGTGAACTAAACAGTTATCTTGTATGCTAAGGCACACTGACTAGCTCGGACGTTTTTAGTTTTGTCTCCAGGTTTTGGCCTTTCGTCTACACAAACACAGCTTTAGGATACTGAAACTTTTAAAACTCTATTTTCAGTATCAGAACGTGAACTGATAACATTTATACTTGAAAAGACCAACGTCACACGCATGGTTATCGCCATTTTACATGTGATGAGCTGCTTAAGGTCTCTGTATCTGACAGGGCTGATATCTAGACTGCTAGTGCGTTATCTGTCATATCAAATGTCATTATGTGATGTAACTGATCACACAGAAGCTTTTTCATTTATTTTTGATTTATCACTAGAGGAGAAATGCAGCCTATCTTGGACTGCCTGGTGAGATCTGTTTGTGCTGTTTTTTTAAAGGAAGAACTGTCCTTGTGTGTTTAATTTGTTAAATGAAACATTATTGCCAGACTAAAATCTGCAGGTTTTCATTTCCCAATTAATCGATTAATTGAGGTCATAAAGGACCAGCTAATTGATCATGGAAATAGTCGCTGGTTGCAGCCCTAGTTCCAACGTTTCACTACAATTTTGGCAGCTGTGAAGGCTGCCAGCAGTAGATTCTTCAGCCATGAAAGCAAAGAATGACAAAATTATCTTCTATTTTGGAATCTATTTCAGACTCCTCAGAGTTGCCCCCTTAAGCCTCGATGCAGTTTTAGACACTCTTGATGTTCTTCTCAAGCAGCTTCATGAGTAGCCACCTGGGATTGTGGACCAGAGAAGATGCAAACATGCTGAGACCTTGTTGTTGCTAATTACTGCTTGTTGGAGGGTTTGCTTTTTTAGTTTTGCATGGAAGCTATGAGGCTAATGTAGCTAACAAGTACAGGAAGCTTATTCCCCACCAATTATTACAGTGCAGGGCTGCCCAAAGTGTGACCCGCAGGCCAACATGGGCTCTTGAGTTTTGATTTGGCCCACCAGAAAGTTACCCTAACCCGACACCCTCAAGTAGTGTTTTTATACTATGCATAAAATAAATTCTTATCTTCCTTCTAACACTGTGTTTTGATAGTATTTCAGGAACAAAATATTGTGTGATGTCATAAAATGGATTTTAAAAAACTGGATTTGAAATACAGTTATCTTCTTTATTTCCATACTGCTTTGTCTTTTTTGGCCCTCGGCCCACCACAAACACAGACCTAAGACAAAAGAAAAGCCCCCCTTCCATAGTACTAACTGCCTGTCTAAATCAGTGTTTCTCAACCTGTGAGCTGCGGACCACCAGTGGGCCGTGAAGCACCCTCTAGTGGTCTTGCACTCAGGGGGAGGCAGTACTTCGTACTGGGCCAGTAATGTCATTTTGTAACTAAAAACGTAAGTGGAAAAGTGTTTTGTGCTTTGTAGTTATAAACAGGTGGGCCTTGGGGTACAAAAGGTTGAGAACCCCTGGTGTAAATGATCACGCACTGCATCGTTATTAATTAAATATGCTTATGTGGTTTACTGTAAGCATAAAAACACATATATAATTATAAATCTATAAAAATGAACAAAATTATGTTGCAAAGCTAAAAACGGCAGTAGGAGCCATGTTGAAGTGTGAATTGCCTGTTTTTATAGATAACAGTGTCACACAGTGTCAGAAACCACATAAGATAATCCATTTGCATGTTTAATTTTTGAAAATGACTGCATAATTCAAATGCTGAGAAGCAAAGTCATTCAAAGTAATTTGATGTGAAGTTCACTGTAAAGAAGTTAATTACTTTACAGTGGTGGCAATACGAACCAGGGGTCTCAATGTCTATAACACAAATACAGCCATTTTATTTAATATCCATTTTACTGGCCAGTGAATTATGTATTTTTTTATATTGGTAATGGTAAAGCAGTGGTGCATCAGAAAAAAAAAAGATAAAAACTTTTTAGTGAGGGGACTATTTTGCCTTACATCAATCTGCATGTACCTCTTTCTCATGAATACACTTCTAAAATGTATTTTAGGCCAAAATCTCATCTTAAAATGGTCACAAAACAATGTCTCAAACATTAGACCCACTTCACAGTAATGGTTTTCTGTGAAGGAGCTCTTAGTGGCATTAATTGCTTCGGACGTCTGGTTCCTATCACCACCACTGTGAACAATTCTGATACAAAGCATTTCACATCAAACTCAGGGTTAAGCAAATTTTTGATGGTTACTGCAGATCTGTGCAGCTAATGAAGGGCTTTGGAAGCATTGAATATTAAAGGTTAGTATTTGAAATTTGTAGTAGAGCGAGATACTAGTAGTAGCGCTGAGTTTGGTCACGACTGGAAAACCACCAGATATTTTCTGAAAACAGGCTGAGGTAGTTTGAATGAATATTGTATTTATGACGTCATCTGACCTCAATTTTACTTCTAACACCACCCTGACCCTAATACTAGCCTTATCCACACTGATGTTTAAAAGATGTGCCTTAAGGACAGGAAAACAGCTCTAATCTCGACTGAAACAGCATGACTAAGTGCTGATCTGTTTGCACCACCACCTCTCTTACAAAAGACGGGGAAGACCTCAACATGCAGTAGCAGTCTTGAAAGCCTCTGTACAAACTGTGACAAAAACAGGCCAAACAAAACGTCCAATCTCTAACACAATAATAGAAATGATTTGCGTTCTGGCGGAGTGTACGGAGCCGAGTGAAAAGCAAGCTGAGAGATGAGGGACACACACAGAGAGAAAGTAAAAATCTCAGGCTGTTGATTGAAGAGCTCTTGAGCTGAAGCACTCGCTCAAAGGAGCCCCCTCCTAATGAACATATTAAAGAGCGGCAGCTGCTGGGCGCCGAATTAGTGCGTTACCTGATGATCCCCGCAGATCTGTCGGCCGTTTCAAATTCTTATTCATGCTGCCTGCCTGACCCCTACAGAGCCTGGGGAACTGGCATGGCGTTCGATTTTTACTATGTTGTGCCCACATATTACACTTACTACAATACTCTGTGCACGATGTAGCTACGTCTTTTAAACCAGCGGCCACAACTTATGAATATACCTTTCACAACTTGTGGCTATGAATCTGTTTCTCTCAAGTGACTATGTTGTGTCAAAGTAGACGCAGTTCTTTGACACATTAAGAACCCATATAGTGCAGTTAAAAAAAGAGCTGCAAAAGCAGAAAACACTTCCATCAAAATGAAAACATATGCACTTTTATCAAAATGACGACACTGATGCTACATTTCACAAATGAGCTGCAAATACAGAAAACACGTGCAACTTCAGGTGTGACTGCAGAGTGAGGAAAATGTTTCTGAAGGATGTTCAAAGAAGATTGAGCCATTTAAACTTCATATTCTGTGCAGCATAAAGATTCTTAAGCAGATAACTAATATCGCTGTATTGTGATGGGAATTAGCTATAAAGTATAACTAATTAGTGCTCTTGTCTCACAGAAAGAAGGGCCTGGGTTCAATTTCCCAGCCAGGCAACCAGGTTTCCTCCCACAGTCCAAAGACATGCATTCAGGCAGTTGGATAATACTAAATTGCTCCTAGGTGTGTGTGAATGTGTCTGTATGTCTGCCCGTCCAGGGCGTTTCTCGCCTTCCGCCCAATGAGTGCTGGGATGAGTTTTGCTGGGATCCATGACCCAGGAGGATAAATGGGTCAGATGATGAATTAATGACAAAGATATTACTGATAACTACTGTAGTACAGCTAGAACATGTTAGAAAGCAGCCAGCTTAACCTTGAACTTACTGAAATATGAGTCTCTGTGGTCTGATCGTCCT